CCGATTTTGTGTCAGTCGGAGGCATCAGCACTCGGCAGAGAGAAACTGCTAATTCTTGCGTACTGTTTTTACGAATGTAAACAAACGCCAATCACCTAGAGTGTTCGTATTTATTTTACCGAAGAGTATATATATATATATATATATATATATATATATATATATATATATATGTGTGTGTGTGTGTGTGTGTATATATATATATGTGTGTGTAGCGTTATTCAAAAAGAGTGAAGCGTTTTTATTACGCAATTACGCAATATTTTAATAAGGAAAAGCAATATAAAACTTCAGCCAAGTCACAATAAACGTTTATTTCCTGTCTTACAAGTGTTCAATGTGGTCACTACCTGCAGCAAGGGGAATATCAATGCGATAAGAGAATTCCTCCCAGACGTGTATTAGTATATCACAATCCATTGAGTTTATCGCTGTTGTTATTCAATGTTTAAGTTCATCGAGGTTAATGGGTAGCAGTGATAAAATCATACTCGGTGCGGTCTAGGGATTTTTCAGGACAAACAAAGTCTTGGCAATTTCTTGAACGAGGCGGAGGCTGTAATTTTTCAAATGTAGACGTCTTAACCCACACCAGATAGTGGTTTGAGAAATCCCCAGCCCTCGGTCGCAGCCCTGTTTCTCGACATTTATTCCTCCGAAACTCGTAGTCATACTGGATTTTTTCCCCTTAACTCAGGTACCCACTCTGTTGAAATTGTTAACGTACCGTCGATTAATCTTGGTAGAGTGCGGATTTATGTCGAATTGCTTTCAAAACGTACGCGGTACCGTGACAATCGTATAGTTCTCACGAACTCGAGAACGGAGAATGCTGAGGACTCACCATTCCTGGGGTAAACAAGCAACTTCAAGTTGTTGAGCATACAATGCGACAACGGTGCCGCTGATGAAGCCATGCAAAACTTAAAAAAATCCTTTTTCAACTGGCGCCTTAAATGACGATGCTTGAGAAGTGAATCAATGTGACATGAAAACGGTTCAGAGATTTTGAATAACCTTGGGTAGTTCTACAAGCAAGAAGTACGAGAAAAGAAACTTACTATTTACATATAGTCAACTCAACTGTAAATTGATGAGACCTTGTCGTCTGTCTAATAGTGCGGTTAAATTCAAAGAGTCTATGCACTATAACCAAGTGCTTAACTAAACAATTACCATGAAAGAGTCGATCCTTCACATCTACAAAAAAACCATTCGCCCTTGCATGGATTATTGCCGCCATATATGGTCTGGAGCCCCTTCTGTTTATCCCAAAGTCCTTGATAAAATCCAGAAACGGATATGCAATTTAATTGGCCCTGATCTGGCATCTCGTCTGCAGTCGCTCTCTCAGACATGCCGTCGCCTCTCTCTGTCTTTTTTTTACAAATACGTTCATGGTAACTGCTCCGAAGCTTTCCTTGGTTCCTAGACATCATGAATTTAAGCGTTCTACTAGGCTGGCATCCCGCTCATACCCTTGCATGGTTGAAACTGTTAAATATAGGCATCTCATCTACACCAATAGCTTCATGTCTCGCACTTCTCGCCTGTGGAACTCCCTCTCCTATTCCTATTTACCTGATAGCTATAATCTACAACTATTCAAACGTAATGTCAATCGACGTCTCCAGATACCGTGATCTATCCCCCATCCTTCTCTTCATCCTTTCCTCTATCACTCCTCTTTGCTCTCGCTCCAACTTTTTGTAACCCCTTGCGTGCTTGTGGCTTACTGCCTTACTTGTGGTGAAACGCTTAAAAAAATATTTATAGAAAAGTTGGTGGGGAAATTGACTGAAGCCGAGCTGCCATATCAGTACCGATAATATTGCTGATTCTTTATTTGGATTTTATTGAGGTTCAAAGGGTAAATATAAATAGAAACGGGCCATATGTGGCAGTAATATTCTAACCATGGACTAATGATAGACTTAAAAAATATGTAAGATAGATTTTAGGGTGTAAAATACTCTCGCCCAAAACATTAAACCAAGTTTCTTAGCAGCTGACGTAGCAATGGATTCAATATAATCTTTCCAGTATTTACGTTATTCGAACTATTGTCCTCATTTTTGTTGCCATACTTATTACAACGTTTCGGCTGTTGTACGCTCCGGCCTTCATCAGGTGATTGGAATGTCGAACTGAAATCTAGCTCCACGGGCCAGGTATAATGGATGTCAGTTATCAGTTATCTCCTGGTAATACCCTCTCCAAGTTCTCCACCGCCTTAACCAGGTATTGAACTCACACTCTTTGGGTTCTGTTACTGGATGTAACCAACGCCTATATCCACTGTGTCCTTGAGGAAATATAGGCAGATACTGATAGTCTTTCAACTTCATCTCAGAACATTATACCGAGAATACGCAATGAGTCACTCTTCTGGAGGTTAGCATCAATCCTGCATCTGTAAAAGGGATCTAAAGGGTATTTTCGTTCATAATATTTCATTTCGCGATTTCATAAGAAAGACTGGATCAGTTCAAAATTTTGTCCAGCTATACCGTTACTTTACAACTTGTGAAGACGGCCTCTATCCAGGGGTTTAGATTTTTTGTATTCCCCCTTATGAAAACTAAAAAAAATTGAGATATTTTGTGATTTTGAAATGCTCTTTTCCCAGTTAGTTGGACATCTACCTAATTCTGAGGAGCATTTTCTTCGTCTGAAAGCTCGTCTGAAAGACTTAACATATAATTTCGTTAACTCGTCTATCGATTCTCTCGGGTTCTCTCGGCAGAGGAACCATTTTAAAACGTGCCAAATTCTAAGACAGACATATATCTTAACTGACCTGACAAAAGTCCAGGTTTGGTAATATTAAATTGTTTCGATTATGTCAAAAAAATATTGTGTATTTTAAATGTCAGTTAATTTCAGAAATTAGGAGACGTCAGTTGTAACTCTCTGCTTTCGGACGAGGAGGAACCCGAACGAGGCTCTTCTGGGGAGGTAAACCGATCCTGAACCCGTTTATTCGGGTTCAAAGTATATATTTTTGGCCGAGCCTACGGGCTCGGATATCCCACGTTAATCCGGCCTTGTGCCACATGATGCCCTCGTGGGTGGGGTTGACTAAATATCGTCGATGTCGGACGACCGGCTGAATGGTTGAACTCTCTGCCTTCATTAAAAAAAATATATCCCGAACGATAGCTTCGCCGAATGGCGGAGTCTCCACCGAGAAAGGTAAACACCCTGAACCCCGTAATAAGATATTTTCAAAGGGAATAATTTTCAGCCCAGGCCCCATGGAGGATAAAAATCCAAGTTAAATCGGCGCTTGTCAATATAAATTACCCTCGTCGAGGGATTGACTAAATTCATTTTCATTCTGAACTCGGACGACCGGATGATCGGTTTGATCTCTCTGCCTTTAGGCGGGGATTTACCTGGCAACGATGTTTATAACGCGAATGGTATTTCTCTTTCGGGGGTAAATACTTTCATTTCAGTCTGAAGACTGGGTTCCTTTTTGATCAGAAGTCCTGGCAAAAATAGTCAGCTGAATCCCATAATTTGTCCGAAACAGTGTCTTATTTCAGACAATTACTATTAAAACACTGGAATAGTGATACTGGTCGATGAAACATTGTTCTCCATATTACCTGTCTTTCATTACTAACAATTTCTAAGAAATGCATTATATAATCCGGTGTTTTATAAATGTAATTGTTCAGTAATCAACTAAAATAAAACTTGATTTCAATACAAAGTGAAAAAAAATGAGTCCTATTCATCGTTACTGGCTCTCTTTACAGTTTTTGATTCTCTCTCTCTCTCTCTCTCTTCCAAATATATATATATATATATATATATAAATAAAAATAAAGCCCATAATAGAATACCCACAAAAGACTTTCTTTTTTTATAATATATATAAATCACCTGGTAACATTTGTACGTGGATGGACGATTGCATATAGCATTCAACCGAAATGTCGCCTCTAAATACTTTCTTCTGTGTTCAACTTTTTGTCGAAATATATATATATATATATATATTTATATATATATAGGATATATATTTAAATAAATATCATTATAAAAATATTTAATATTTCCTCTGAAATTCTTTCTGTCCTATTAAAACAATCTGCCTCCACAAGTTTTCACATCGATTTCATTTTCAAGTCTTTAGATATAAGCTCTTTGGACTATTATATATACTGAAAAGTTCCCTCTCATGTGCCACATGTCTTATGAATTGAATTGGATCTTTATAATTGATCTCCTTATTTAGATAAATTGAGTAGATGATTCCTTTTATAATATTGAACAGACCTGCTCGTCCAGAAGATATCTCTATTGTTAGATATCTTTTTAGATAAATCTTAGATAGATTTTTCCTTGATGGTTCTTGTCTTCACATTTCTAGACATAGCTGCGCTGACACAATAGAACAATTTTAAACTGTTCTATCTCTAAATAAAAATAAGTGTTTTTTCAGAATTATTACGATAAATAGTTTTTCTAAATAAACTGAATGCAGTTTTTTTAACAGATGTGTGTTAGATAATATGAGCAGAGTCAAAATGATTTGAAGATATTTTATAGTCCACCAGAAGAAAATAACCAATCAGAAGATAGTAAAATATTCAATCCGTCGTGTATAAAAGACTGTAGATTTTAGATTTAAAATTTCTCGATAGATAGATACCAAAATGTCAAAGAGATAAAGGAACAGATATAGGAAGAACTACTAGAGAAGATACGCTCTCGACTTTTATAAGGATATCCACGATAGATAGATAGAAGTAAAATGTATCCTATAAAAAGAAAGTCTTCAAAATATTCATAGATGATAACCTCTGGATTCTATACTCAAAGACGAAACATCATCAGGATAGACAATGTGGAAAGATAAAATTTAT